GCGGGAAAATTTAACAGTACAACAAGTGAAAAAACTTTGAAAAGAGGATTCTGCTTACTTAAAGAAGGGGAACTATAAGTGAGATGTTCAGCTATGTGGCAAAATTACTTATTACAGTACTTCTAATATATTCTCAGATCAGTGGGGAAAGACAAGAAGGCAATTCAGGCATCAATCAGACGTAACAAGGAAACCAACACTGTTTTGGCCAGACTGAACAGTGAACTACAGCAGCAGCTAAAGGTAATTTCTTTGTGTAAGAGAAGAGCTTCAGAGAGCAAGCTGTTAGCAAAGCACAGTAACAGGCATCTCTGCAATCCACTGATAAATGTAGTTGAGGATATTGATATGAAATATTTAGCTATTTTTGTAGATCATAGAATATACCTATTTGTGATAAGCTTTGTGAAATTACAAATCATACTTCTGCTGCTGCAAGGCATACTTTTCAATGTATTGATTTGCTTTTAGCTACAGTAAAATTTCACCTCATTTTAACAATACTAGGTTACCTGTTGTCATCATTGCATGCTTTAAAAGCAGTACCAAGAAGAGCAGCTGAAGTGATTTGTGTTCTTCTTAAGGAAAAAACAAGCCTTAAAGTCTTAATAAAATTATAAATTATAAATATTTTAAAACAAATACAGAAATCTGAAATACAAAACTTGCAGTTTAATAATTAGTGCAATAATAATAATTTGTTTATCTAGGTCAGCTATCATTCTTTTGGAGCTATCTGTAAGCATAAGCTTAATATATTTCACCTGCCATCATTTTTGCCTAAGAGATCTCATTTTAACTATGAAGATAATTTTTTAAAAGTATCTTAAATGAAAATATGAATTAATAAGATACTGTCTAGAATGGAAGTTAGGTAATTTTAAAAACTCAATCCTGAATGTCACTTCTTACTTTTCATGAGAGTCAAGGTGCATAAAATTCACATAGGAGGAAAATCTGGGGAAAAAACCTGTGTGTTTCCAATACTCTTAATTCAGGGGAGAGCTTAACCCCCTTAACATTTTAAACTTCATTTGAAAATATTATAGTTTGGTTTGCCTCTGGTTACAAATTTGGGTTTGGGTGATTTGAAAAAAAGGAAAAAATACTAAATAGCATCACCTTAGAGCAAAGTACTGATTTTCAATGATAAGTAATTACCAGCCAGGTAATCTTCTATTCAGTTTCTGGAAGGAGCTACCAAGAGTCTAGAATATAAGTTAGTTCTCAAAGTGAAGCAGATTTTGATTGCATGATGAAATTTTCAGTACTCTTTCTCTGTGGACTGTCAGTAGAAAATCTTTCTTTTACAGGATGTTCTTGAAGAGAGAATCTCCCTGGAAGTCCAACTGGAACAACTTCGACCCTTCTCTCACCTCTAAGCCTACTGCCGTTAACTGTGAATTTACTAATTTTGAAAGGGGTATTGGTTTCAAGGCCTATTTAAATATCCATGCATCTAGCTCAATGCACTCTATTCTACATTAAATGTTGTGGTTCTGTTTTGTCAGTTTGTCCACTTTTGTATTTTAAGTATTTTAATTTCCATACAGAGAGAAAGAAAAAAACAAACTACTTTTTCCTTGAATGTGACACTGCCTCTCACATCTTATTCTGTGGGCATCCGTGATCTTTGTTGGACTTGAGTTTGCAGAGTTTGTCGCCAAAATTTCCAACTGGAATTTTTTCATGGATTTTTTTTTCCTGTTGAAATATCTTTGCAGAAAATGTTTCCTGATCAGTTGATTTTAACCTTTAAGCACATAAACTCTTCATTCACTATGGCATTTATTTTATGGTGCCAGAAAAGAGACAAACTACTAATCTGTCATCAGCCAATGTTACTTCCCAAGCTGCCTTTGACAATTGGAAAGTTGTTCACCATTCTAAAAAGCCTGCCTCTTTGCAATTCCCCAGCTTACTCAGGTTGGGAGAGTTCTTGCAGGCTGTTTGCCATATCAACTGGATTGGATTTTGTGATTTTTGTTGCATACATTATAGAGTATGTAACCACAGATTGCCAGGTGTTCACATCTTATCCATTCATGATCCTGATTCAGCCGCATGCGTAGAAGCATTTATGGCACAACTGGTAGTCTGTCAAACAGGTCTTTAGTTCTCCCTTTTGTGAAAAGAGTTGGGTGTAGGTCCCAAACATTAATTGCACATTATCTAAGCACCACCTGTAATTGCATGTCTCACATGTTCCCTTTTAATAGCAGATCACATCCACCGGTCTTCACTATAACAAATTGTATTGTCAAGTAATGTGTCAATACCTCTATAAACCTCTAATTCCCAGCAAAAAAAAAAAAATATATATAAAACAAAAAAGGAACAGTTTTGCTTCTTAGGAATTCTGGGGTACCTTCTGTCATCTTGTTTCCAGGCCTTACTTCACTGGCAAATAGACAGGCTTCACTATTAACAGAGTTCCTTGAGTGTATCTTACTCTTCAGGTTGATGTACTGTATTAGGATTTGTTGTATATTGTACGATACACACATTTTGATCTCATATGTAAATTTGCATTAATTGCTGACTAACAGCAGATATTCTATTTAATGGCTTCTTCTGGCTGTGGGATCATAGATGTTTAACTGCATGGATGTATCTCTGCAGAATCAGAACTAGCAACTGTGTGATTTTTACACCAATAAAACAGCACAATATTTTAATTTTGTTGATTCATCTTTACCTGGGAATTGAAACGCATTCATATAAGGGGAGGGTTTTATTACAGGTTTGCAGGTAATTTTTTGTAATTTTGTGGCATGTACAAGAAGTGATTGATCGTAGTCTTTTGGCCATTTTCTTCCCTCATTTTTAGCTGTTGATCAGAAGTGATTCTCTTGGTAATCTGTGGCTATACTCCTTTTATATTCTCCTGTAAGCAAATTTAATACAAATGTAATTTCTGAGAAGTAAATGTTAGTATTGACTTGGGTCAAATATATTTATAGTTCTTAAGGCTTAATATCAGGTTTGATTTCCTCTAAAATTCCTTTAAAAATTAAAGATAAATCATCCTCTGTTAGCAGTCCTTAACATCGCTGTCTCACTTCTGTGCATAAATGAAATTCTCTTAACATGTGCTTCCCTTCCAAAAGGATAGGTCAAGTCAGATTTACCACTGGTTATGCTGTTACAGTGAAAAATAAGGATTTCTCTTTTTGGTTATCATAAACAGATGGGATAATTGCAGTGAATTTTTACTACTATAACTTTTTCAAATGTCATGGAAGTGTTGCAGATGGTTTATGTATATAATCTAAAGCAAAATTGTCTGGTATGAAAGGATGTCATAGTTGCATGAAAGATGGTAGTTTCTATTTGCATGTAAAGGGATTAAAAAATGATAGTTAAATGGTCACAAAGGTGGCATATAAATATTATTCAAAGTGCAAGGCTTGGACTTCAGAAAATTATGTACGAATAGGGAAATGTGAAGAAAAACTCAGCAAAACAAATTACCTCCCCCCCAAGTAAACTAAAACTTTAAAGTTAATAGACCAATCACTTCTATTATAACTGACAAGTAGCAGGAACAGAGTGGGAAAAAGTTTTTCCCTTTTTTAAAAAGTGGGAAAAGTGAGTCACTTTTCACAGTTAAAGAATGTTGATCTTTTGAACCAACTGTATCTTGTCCATAGTTTATTTTAAAGTCTAAAATACATTTTAAAAATAGCACTATTTTCATATTAATATTTAAGTATTAAGCCTGTGTTTATAGCAACAGGCTTCTTAAATCAGAATTTAACATTTTAAGCTTAAATGTAAAAAGCTTTTTACATTCAAACGTTACATGTACATATGAATTTCTCTAACATCCATATCTTCGTAATAGAATGACAAATTAGTCTCAAGTGAAGAACTTTGGCAGCCTGAACCTTTTTGTGTCTTGCCAACAAGTCTGTTTTGAAGAATTTTATGGATTACTTTTAATGCATCATTCTGTACATTTTAAACCAGTTTTTCATTATCAGAAGACCTAACTGGAAAAACTACTTAATGTCTTAAGAGCATCACTGCCAATGATGTTCAGAAGTTACCTCATTTAGTAATGTAACCCAACTTTAATCCCCTATAAAATTATCTCCCTGTATTCTCTATTTCTTTGATCTTGATCCAGCTACTTGATACATTCTTTTGTATGAACTTAGATTGTAAGCTCTTTGGAGCAAGGAATTATGTACTGTACAAAAGAGGTGCTCTCTCTATTGCAAGTATAAATGTAGACTACTAAATAGTATGGAGTGTGATTCATGTACCCAGCTGGGATGGACGGACAGCAGCAGGCCTTTCCGAAACACCTGGGGAACGTTTTTCTCTGGACTTTTCCACTGGAAGAGTGTCTCTTCTCGTTTGATTTGCATTTCTTTTTTGTCTCCTAATAATGTGCCTCTTTCTTCATTCCACCTGCTTTGGAGTTGCTTTTTTCTCCATTCACTGCCTATCTTTGGACTGCAGAGAAGATTTCCAAAATGCAAAGGTAAAAAGCTGAAGCCGCTTTGCTTTGAGCAGTATTTTAAGTCTATCCAGTGTAAGCAAGTATTTTCAATTTTTTTGTACTTCACATGCACCTCATTTTCCTTGCAATTGTGATGAACTAGATGATCTCATATTACTGAAAATGTCTTACATGGGATAAACAAAGTTGAGGTTATAAAAACTTAAAGAAAATAAATTTGCAGCATTGTTTCTTGTGTGACATGTCTCTGTCCCTTATGGATGGGGTGTGCTGTGTTTCTCTACATTTAGGGCAGAGTTGAGAATTACTTTTCTGGTTTCAGCTGTGCAGTTTGTCTATAAATGTCACTTTATGGGTGGCCTAGCCTTAATCACTTTTTCCTAAAACAGTAAAAGATAGTAAATCATGGTCTTCTGACTCCCAGCTCATTCTAGTTTCTAGTGGAATGTAGCTTCATGAAATTGTATTGTGTTGCAAAAGCACATTACTTCTAATTGAATTAATAACAATGCAGTTCTTACTCTGTGGGGAAGATGAAAAAATAACTTGTTTATTTTGAATATATTTGCATGCTTATGCAGCATGCTTGTCTTGCCGTGTATATTGATGTACCAATCTTTTATCATACAGCTGTCTAGATGAAAACACATGAAAACCAAGGACTTCATTATCTAATAACAAAAAAACCATTAAATGCTATGTTCTCTTAATAGTCTCAACAATGAACTAGGGATTGTACAGAAAAAATGTTAATGTTTTAATGTTTAAAATGAGACAATATAGGGTTGTCCTGCTAGTACACAAGCAAAATATAAACTTCACAGGAGTTTTTTAATTAATTGTTTTTGTTTGGGGACACGGAGGGGGAATTTGAATACTGGGTAATTTCAGTAATATTTCTTTAAATTGGCAACATGGGTTTTAAAGGTGCTGTTTTGTGCTTTAAAGGTAGATTGTACATTATTTGTACCTAAAGTATATATTGATTGTACAGTAGTTGTACCTAATTAACACACTGTTAGTGTGTTTCAAAGTGATTTCACAGTACCTTTTTCCACCCTACTGATATATAGGTATTCAATTATTGTCCAATATTTTTGTCCAAAACAGTATTAGTTATAATACTAAAAAAATTGGTGTTGTGACTCTATGAAATACAAAGTTTATGATCTCACAGCTTAAATACAAAGCATTAAGAAGACTCTTAATACTGTTCACTACACTTCACCAGCATACTGAGCTTCAGAAAGCTAGATTAATTCTGTTTCATCTCTGGTAGAATATATTCTTGACACTATCACTCTTACAGATACTGATTCATTTAATCTGGAAGCAGCTAAAATTACTTGTTTTGTTCTTGTTTATGAGTGGCCTATGAAATTACCAAAATGTCATAGATAGTTAAAGCAGTTTAAGCTGACTTTCAGTGGTATGTTGATGGAAACCCGAATTTTGGCAATAGTGCTGTTGAACCATGTGTGGCTGTATGGCTTCCCAGTCTGCAGAGGAGCTCACAGAGATGGGAGGTACATCATACTCTGCAGTGCACTTGCACTCTTTGGTGTATCCCTTACAGCTGTAGTGGTGCCTCTTGCTTTCTGTCACTTAGCCTCAGAGGTCTGACTGCATTTCCTCTTTGGCTCAAGTGAGGCTGCATTTAAGCTGACTGGAATGGAACACATTCATTGTAAGAAACTGCACTCTGCAACAGAACTGTCTTCTACAAAGAGCCTGTGAGTTTTAGTATCCAACCAAAAGGCAAGTAAGGAACACTAGCATTTGAAAGATTGGTTGCATATTGAGAAAATAAATTGATTTCATATTGGAATCAGTTATTTTCCTGACAGCTGGAGGAGCAGGAAGTGGAATAAGCATTACAAAAGCTGCTGTGGACACTCACCTAAGGGCTTCTGAAGGCCTAGCATCCCTGACTGGTTGTGTCAGACTTAGCAAGAAATTTATGTATAGTAAGGAGTTTCAGCAATATATGATTTCTCTGCAGAAGGCAAAGGAAGTATTTTGGGAATCCCTGTATTAACTTAGGTATGTGTTTCATTAAATGCTGTGAAATTTAGCACTCTAGTAAGTGCTTTTGTGCCTTATTTTGCATAGCTTGAGCTAATAGCAAGCTTGAGTTAATCAAGGTATGGAAATACAGAGTGAAGAATACAGAGTTGAATACATAAGAAAAAGATCAAAGGAATTTTGTAGGAAGCTGTAATTCATTGTATTCTATCAGAAAATGCAGAAGGTGCCATGCCTTGAGCATGTTGTTTTTTCTGTTACATATCCTGCCTTTGGAAGAAGAGTGGTTCCATTTATAACAAGCCTTTCTTCTAGAGCTTCAATCCTGTGTCTTTCACTGCCCTTGTGAAGGAACATGGCCACCTGCCTTCTTGTCCAAAGGAACCAAGAGATCATAGACCAATCAGGAGGTCCTTTTGCTGCAGAAGGGTACCTAAAAAGCATGCATTCCCTAGTTTACTTTGCATGTAACCTTTTGGGATAAAGTAACTAAAGCAAGAATGTTCTGTGGAAAACCAGTAATTATTCACATCATTTTTTTCAAAATTAAGAGGCTGGTAATTTTGACAGGTTCTATGGTTTTCACAACATTGCCTCCATAGTGACTTTGTTAACCAAAAAACATGCTAAAATGGATACTGTCTCAGAACTTCTAATGTCAAAAGTACCAATTTTGTCAGCGTTTTTCATCCTTTTTTCCTTTATCTTTCTTTCATGTATGCACTGCAGTTTTTAGAGTTCTGTATAATATTTCTTGTATTAGTTAGCACTTGCTGAACTGTTGGACTGTATCTGTTCTAGTACTTTGGCTTGATGCTGCAATATTGCATTGATTGGGGTGATCAAATAATTTGCAAACTACTCATTCACTCTGGTCTCAGTCTCTCAGTTTGTTGGGAATTGTTCTTGGTTATTTCTGTTCTGGTTTTCACTGGTTTAATATGATTAAGGAGCTGTAAGTTGGAGATCTCATATTAATCTTAGTATTTCTAATTAGTGGGAAAATTATACTCTATTACAATGACTAATTTTTATGATTCAAAATTTATATCTAACATCAACTACTAAAAACGTATTTTCTTTCTTTTTTTTACTTGGGAGAGAGAGATGTACAGCTCTTGTGGATGTGTGCCACAAGTCTCTTTGTAAAGCTTTATTTCAGCAAAGTTCAGTGCTGATTCACAATATCTGGTGTCATTGCAGAATCAATCTTTCCCAGAGGAGTACTTAATTTGACATGTTTCCTCCTTGGTATTTTCCTGTTTGCTTCTGCTACCAGACAAGTCCCTGGGATTGCAGGTGTGCTCCAGTTGACCCAGCACAGCTGAGAGCAGCAGAGGACCTTTACCACCACCCTGTCCCTCTGACCTCTGCATCTCATCCCATGTCATGGCAGCAACAAGTCTGGGACTGTCCCAGTCCCCCTTCACATCTATTGTAAAGCTCTGTCAGTGAGTTCTGCTACTTCCCGAGCAAAGACTCTCCTCCCTCAGCAAGAAGGATACATCCCATCAGGGGATGCAGCAGCCCTGGTGCTGCATAGCTAATTGCACTGTCAAAAACCCCAAAATTTTGGCAGTGACACCAGCCATGAAGCTGTGCACTAACAGACTCAGCCCATCTGTTTCTTCCAGTGTTGTAGCCTTCAACTGGAAGTACAGAGGAGAATGAAACTTGTGCCCCAGATTCCCCACAGTGACACAGCCAAGAGCACCTTCTTCCAAACACCAAACCCATTCATCAGTGTGAGTTTTTAAACCACAGCACTGGCCTAAACTCACACTGATAAACATATTAAACACTTAATACACTTTAATCTCCATAAACAACTCTTCAGGAAACAACATAATAGAAAGTGACCTCATTTTCTGCAGCCGCTTACATACTTTTCTAATTAAAAAAGACTTTCCACAAATATGTTACAGTAGATTTTTTTTCTTTTCCTGCAGGAGCACAGAAATGTGATTAAGTCATTACCACATAAAAGAGTTCAGTATCTCAAAAGTCTTGCTACAAAATTTTCTTGTATGAATCCAGAAGTTAATAATTAACAGACTGTGTTAAAGACACAAAGTTGTATCCAGGAGGAGGTAAGGGAAAAAGAATTTCTCAATTATTCGCAATTAATGCATTCTTTGTGGCTTGTAAATGCCTGTGGGCTTAAAGTGATAGAAGAAAAAGGGGCTAATTCTTGTACAATTCTAAACAGCTGTTTGAGAAAGGTCTTAGTTTGTGTCTGTATCTCAAATTATACCCTCTGTCCTTGCATAAATTGCTACAGAAACAAGATCAAGACATCCAACATGTTTGTAACTGATTTGAAATGTGTTTGAAATAGAAAGCTTAAGCAGTTTGATGTCAGAGCCCAAAAATGGGAAAGAGCTGCCTCTAATATAGAATACCTAAACTCTAAAATTAAGTGTGGTTACGGACAAGTGTGCGTTACAATGCTGCGATACACTGCACTTGCTGGCCAGAGGCTGCTAGTGAGCACACCTCTGCTCCTGCATCCAAGTGAGCTGCAAGAATACAATTTTTTTTGTATAACTGCAGCTCTATTAGTGACTTTTGCCATACCTGGTATGAAACATAAGGCTAAAAGATGCTACGTTTTTGCTTGTTGTTCAGAAGTCTACCCAGAAACAATGGCTTAGTGCTGATGTAAGGTGCTGTGCAGAAATGATAATTACCCAATTATTGGTCATAGGTGTGTGTGTGGAGAGCAAACATCAACCTTGGCTTCACTCTGTGAGAAGCTTTTTGTATTCTAGTTCTCTTAAGCTTACTTTGGATTTCACAATATCACAGGTACGTGCCCAGCTGCAGGCAGGGACTCCCAGGTACACTTACCAGCACACAAACTCCTGGAGAATCTTGGCAACGAAGGAGATAAATTGCTTAAAGAACAAGAACAACCTGAGGGGACAACCACTGGGCTGCCTACTGGTTTGTAAATCATGGAGATTTGCATGATAGGTGAGGCAGGGAATTTGAGGCTGAATCTGTGGTGGTTGATGGATCCTTCTGTCCCAGTGTGCTGCAGGCTTGGTGCTGCACAATCCAAAACTACATGTTGTGGCTGAAGGAGCCTCTTCTCCAAAGATACTTAACAAAATCTATTCCTTGGCCACAGGCCCAACCTGGGCTGATGAAAGCTTTCTGCTCAGGCAGAAGGATAAAGATTCCATTCCTTGTTCAGTAAGCGTAAAATCAGTGTGGAATCTGAATGAATTACCTAAAAATGGAATATAAAATAAATCTAGAACCAAAGGCATGGTTTGATGGACCGAGATAGAAATTTTGGATCTAAAACCAGCCTGATTTTACACTAATACAGATTTTTTTTTTTATCTCTGGCTGTGCACAGAAGGTTCATACCAATTAATAGTAGCCTATTTACAACATCAGAGTAACTACAAAATTGATTATCCTGGATTTATTGAACAGTAACTACCCGATTTTGGAGTTTCACAATACTTAATTTATGTAGACTATTAGCATGCATGCTAATTTTAATTTGGTGAGATGTTATAATTATTCATAGTAACGAAAAAAATGTAAACTCTGCAAACACTTGCACAACGCTAAAGCTCATCTTCCTAACACAGCCAAACCAGTAGCAGCTTCTGCAAGTGAAACATCATATATTTAAAACTTTTCACTTTATTAACAAAAAATTAATCTGTGGCATCACTCATCAACAAAACACTAAAGAGATAGTGAGCAGATTGTCTGTGTAATAATCAGAAAGGCAGTATTATCACTACCTTTATAAAAACTGGAGAAATGCCCATGAACTTAAATACATGTACCACTTGCAGCCACATGGGCACTCAGCAGAAGAAATGTATTTCCAGGTTTCTCCAATTTTTCTGTTAAGTAAGGCAATAATAAAATCACAATTAACTACAACTCTAGGTACTGAGCCCTGACATAATGCAGTGCAGAGGAATGTGCAAAATAAACACCTGGATTTGCACTTTGATTTTGTTGTGTAAAATTAAAAACAACACAAAGTCACAACTCTTCTTGATTCCATTATCCAGAAAAACAAAAGCCAAGCTGAAGAATCCAAATTGACAAAGATGTTCTCTCTCAACCTGTGGTACCATTTGGAATATCTTGAGCATCGGCTAAATGTAGTTTTTGGCTGAAGCAAATCATTAAGGAATAACACTTTTACATACATATAAGGCATAAACAAGACAGCACTGTTATGAAACTCTGCTTACTCTGGGGTATGCACCAGTCCAGACAAACTCTGTTCTGGTGAGTCCTACGCTAGTTCCCCACCAGTAGATTCATATTTCTCAATGAGACTTCAGCATTAGATACCTGCAGTACTAGCCTGGGGATCAAGGCAATGGCAAATTATTTTTATCTCTATTACATATTATCACATTCCACTTACCTTCTTTATGAAGTCTGCCTTAAACAGCTTTCCATGGATATGCAGGGAATGTAGATACCAGTGCAGGATCTTAAGCCCCAAAAACTAGAGCCTCACTTCCTCAATGCATGCCAAGTGTTTAACAACAGAAATAACCAGATTGCAGAGCAAACGGAGTGCTGCACTCCTCCACTGCCATCCTGGCTTATCAAAAGCACAGTGTGAAAGACAAGCTGAGACATTCAGCTCTTTCTTCTCTGTGGGCTCAGAGCACACATTTGTTCAGTTACCTAAGCTCTGGATGAAGTATCTGACCCTAGAAATAAAAAATCAGGTCAGTTGACTCTCCACAGTCATGCGGGGATAAATGACCACACATATTTTTAGAAAAAAAAAAACAAAATTTTTCACTTATCAGTGGGACACATGCCTCTGAATATTGTTGTAGGAATATTTCTATGGATGTTTGTTCCAGAATGTCTCATGCATATAGAAAGACCCTGCTGCTGATGGGCTTTGCCACTGACAACGCATTGTGGTACACAAGTGGTACGTGGTAGCTAAATAGATCACCAGATGAAAAAAACAACCTGTAATTAGATGTGTTAAGATATATTCACTTATGTATTGGAAGAACCTAAACATCAATGCTGTATTACAGTATTAATTTAAAAGCACAGCATCACAATTAACTACAACTTGGGGTACTGAGCCCTCACATAATGCAGTGGTCAGTGGAATATGCGAAAGAAACACCTGGATTTGCACTTTGATCCTTTGTTGTGTAAAACTAAAAAAACAACACAAAGGCAATTTGACTCTTGTAAAGACATCAGTTACTTGGGAAACACACTGCAATTTGACTACAGTTAGTAATTATGATGCAAAATAAACATTTTAGAAAAAGGATACATAGATGAATTTAGTTCTTCTAGCTGCAAATATAAATGTAGAAATTATGAAAAATGGCACTTCTGTTAGTCAAAGAAATGTAACAATTATGCTGGTATGCTGAAATAAATACATTAAAATAATGAAGGAAATAACTAATCGTTTGGGCTGAAATGTATGATTTATTACAAAAATCAAATCAAACCTACACTGAATTCTACACAATGACCTAAGTTCCAAATTAAGTTTAAATTTGCTGAGGTCAAGAAATTTAAAGAAATTTTAACAGTTATGGTTTTTATGGAAGCACATTAGACAAAGTGTAGAATATACAGATCTATCCTTGTTATGTGTCACCTCCCCCAGATGTAGGAGGATGGACTGAAGGGAAAATGGCTGTAGCTCCCTAAGCTGTCCATGGGCTGTCCCTAAGCAGGCTGATGTGCTCAGGTAGCTTGCAGCCAGCCTGCTCCCTGCCCCAAAGCAACCAGCAGCTGTTACAAAGGAGAACAACTCCTGTGTTTTCTCAAAACCAAGAGGTGGGCAAGGCACATCTTGGTTCACTGAAGAGCTACATTCTCCTCAAGAGAGAGAGCTCTGCACACAGGAGTGGCATTTTCCTGAACTGAGCTTTGCTGTGGGCTAAGTTCTATGATTTCTGCCTTCCCAGTACTTACATCTGACAGCAGTCTATCCAGGTTGGAATCACTGGCTAGTTTTCTTTTATCTTCAGGGAGTTCTTCCATCTCCCCATAGAGCTCCAGATTGAGGCGAGCAAGTTTCTCCTGCATGCTCCGCACATGCTCCATCTGCTCTATGGAACATTCATTTCCTAAAAGAACAAGCAAAAACTTTATATAAAGAAACCCAAGAGAGAAAATGAAGGTGTGAAGATGCAGCTTTTTACATCAAAGAGATGCAGCTTTTTACATCAGAGAATTTTATCATCGATTTTACAAGTACATTTGCTTTCTCGATGATTTCTCACTGTTTCACTATTGAAGTTTCTATCATCCCATTTGTTGTGTTGTGCTGAATTTACAATGCCTATCCAATGTTCTCAGGGTTTTTTAGAATGCATGTGTTTTTTCTATACTCCTGAATTTTTCTCTGATTAAGTTAAAAAACAGGGCCTTTCTGAAGATTTAAAATACAGTCAAGAACACCTTTCCAATTCTGATTTCTCTAGTGGTTGCTTTCTTGGAACAGATGGCTGATATAATACAAACCTCTCAGATTCTTTTGTAAAATCAGTATGGAATTGACATGTTGACCTAACACTATACTTGAAAAAGTACACATGCATTTTTCTATACAAGGGAGAAAAGAAAGCAAAAATGTGCAATGTCTATTCTAAAACCTCCATCAACTCTGAGGCTGTAAAAATATTAAGAAGCTCAGACAGAAGAGCAACCTGGTAAAATGCAGCTTGCACTGAATTTCATAACAGTTGTTACCAATAGTCTTAAATGTTCATATGCAACAAAACTGGGTGCTAATAACAGTTACTTCTTCCTACATAAATAAGTGATTTTAAACTTGGTATGTTAAGGAAAGGTGCTTCCCTGCTGGAAGGAATAATGAAATGACATATGAATAATGTTAAAACACAGACAACCTTACAATGGGACTTTAATTTTAAAAGGCAGTAAGATGTATTAATTATGTTGATTTCATGTGGCAGAGTCCAACTGAGAGCTGGTAGTCTGTCCATGCAGCACACTTGTTTGCAAATGTTACCACTGTACTATAAAAAACAGCTATTGTACACACACAATTCATGCACTTACCAAATGCCTGAAGTTTGCCAGAGTGGAAGTCATTCAAGAGACTCAGAAGTCCCCTTTCCATTTCCTGGACATCTGATACATCTGTGAGAAAAGAATGCTGGATTGGTGCTGCCTGTGCCCCTTTTGCTTCACCTCCTGGAGGTTTGGCTTTCTCTTTGATTACGCTAAAAAAAAAATTGAACAAAACAAATATTGCCTCCTGCTTTCAATTTCACTGTAAATTTGAAATGTAAGGAAATGTACATCTGAGCTTTGAAAATTAAATGGGAAATACATAGTGTATATTTCAGTCACTGTTTTCCTGCTCATAGTAGGAACCACACATCCGTGATGGTCATCTTAGTAATCTAAAGTAGGCCAACATTACCCAGCAGTGACACGTAGGGCATTAGCACAGAAAACACCTCTAAGATCATCAAATCCAACCATTAACCCAGCACAGCCATGTTCACCACTAACCCACATCCTCAAGCACCACACTCAGGATTTTTTAACATTTCCAGGGATGGTGATTCCACCACTTTCCCAGGCAGACACTATCTACATAAAATGACCCAAAAAGCATCTGTAACCCAGAGCGAAAACCCTTCAAAAATCATACTCGCCTCTTGTCACAAACATCTATAGACTCCAACCCATATGGAAAGCAGCTGGCTATAAGCTTTGGAAGGTGACCTTGCCTCCACATAAATTTTCTTAGAGCTCTTTCTTTCAATCCACAAACAACATCCTAATTTTGTTAAAGCTCACCATCAAAACCACTCTCCCATTACTCTAATGTACCAAATAATACTAGTCAATACCCAAACATCAAATTGCTAAAAATACTCTACAGCCCTTCCTGCAAGAAAACCATCAAAATTCCTGGATCTTCCATACACTTTTCTCTAGACATAACATTTATTCAGAGCACCATGTGCCCACAGAAACTACATGAATTAAAATTAATAACCATTTTAAATCCCCATGAACACACAACCAATATGGAAACTAAAAACACAGCTACCAGTGAGAAGCAGCATGTTCCATCTCTGATCCAGAGACAGACAGACAGGCTGCATCCTAACACAGTTTCGGTAGGAGGCTGTCCTGCAGCCTTGTGAGCAATCTGTTCAGAACCTGATGTTCTGATCCAGTGAAAAAATCTGAGCCTAAAAAATTAATTTAGAATACTATGGGATATTAAAAAAATACCACAGATTTAAAAGAGAGACTTTATTTAATTAGTGAAGATTAGGGGGTTTAAAGCATAGTAAGCCCTACCCTCCCCATGCTCTGCAAATTCTGTCTTTCTTACAGGAAATAATAATTCTTTGTCCAGCCCAAGAGCTTCTGTAGTCTATAAAACATCATATAGACTATATGCTATAAAAACAACCAGCAGTCCAACAATCACCATATCCAGTTCAACTCAGAGCATCTCAATTTAGGTTCTGTTTCAATTTCAGACTAAATGGTTTGTACAACAGACAGGTCATCCATTTTTTCTACCCCATTCTTTTAATAAAATATATTATTGGTCTTGTAAAACCTACTTCATTGGCTTCTTGCAGATAAAGTGAAAATTAATTAAACAGTCTCACTCCATTATCACAACAGCAGTTCATCCTCACATTACTATGTCAATTACCTCTCTTGCTTGAAAAGTTCAAATAATTCTCTGTATCAGCACTGCTTGGTAAGTTTAGCAATAGTGCCAGAATGGCCAGAACTTACAGCAAAAAGGACATTTTTTTCTCTAGACAATCCTGTGGACTGCAAGAAATTAATTTCTAGTAAATCCCAGGAGAATGCTGAGACTTGAGTAGACTGTTCAGTCAACTGCAGAAGCCACCAATTTATAGCACATTAGTATTTACTAACATTTCCTTCTGAGTATTAATACAGTTTTCCTAAAAATAATGTATAGACTTTACACTGCAGAGATTAATTATTTATCATGTCAATACTGCATCCTTCAAACAGACTCTCTATGCTGATGCTGACAGTTCTATATTTAATCTTCAGCTAAAACTCAGAGGTCAGTGAATTCTGCTGCCTCTCTCCAGCTAACATTTCACTTTAAAATTCTTCATTTACTTATCTACTGTGTCTGCCACAGCCAAGAAACACATTTCCTAACATGCAGGTAAATTAATGTTCTCAAACTGAAACCAACATATCATCAACAAAAACCACAAACTAGTCTGATGCGATACTTTCTGAAGAACTGAATGTTTCTCTTTACTCAAGATGCTGCCCCAGCTGAGAGGTCCCCAATTACAAAACACCTAGAAATTCCAGTTCCAGCTCATCCTATTCAATTTATGTTCTTCATTTCCTGCCATACTTGTCGGTTCCAACCTTGTGTCATGTAATATTTTATTTGTTGTTCACAGCTGTGCATCTGGAGCTCTGCTATCTATGATGCCCAAGCCTGATCACCCAACCAGTCACATCAGGCTATATTCAGCTAAATTGTTGTTGGTGTGGGTCTACAACATTGTGTAACATTTCATTAAACTTACAGGAAGAGTGTAATACACCTTCCTTTGCTGTAAAATAACCATTATATTGCATTAAACACAAATCATGTTGCTAACAAAGACACATCATCAAAACTTTTCACAAGTCTGAAATTCTTCTGTCACAGTCTGAACAACCTTTAGACTGTCTTAACATTGCTAAGTTTCTGGCTCTCACTTCCTGTAAAGTCTGCAAATGCCCCGAACTTACCGTTTTAACTTTGGTTTTTGTACGGCAGGCTGTGGGGCAGGGTTGGAAAAGGCTGTACTTTTACTGACTGGCACTGAGCTTTTCTTGGAGTTAGCAACCTGAGCAGAGTGACTGGAAGATGATTTGGGGCTCCTCCTCTTGATCTTCCTTTCTTCCATTTCTTCCAATTTACTGCATCTAGACTACTGTCTTCATAGGGAAGAAAAGAAAGTGAGAAAAAGAAAAATTAAACTGGCATTCACAATAAAAGCAAGTAGAAAGACAGCTCGTGGAAATGACACTTATAGTTCCTTCAGAGACGAGCACTCATTTCTGAGAACAAGGGAACCCAGTTTTTAAGAGAAGATGCCCTGGCCTGCTTGATGAGCGGAAAAAGTAGGAGTTAAAACCTCCATCAGCCAGCAGGTACCTGCAAATGATCTCAAGCATCGTGTCCCGTGGATTACGGCTAGGAAACACCACGACTGCTTGGGCCCACGGCAGGCAAAACACCTACAGCACGGGGACGCTGCGACGCACCCGTGGCACAGAACCTCCCCGCGGTGGAAGCCTCGGCCGACGCCGAGCGGCTGCGGCGGCGCAGCAGTTCCGCAGCCGCGCACTTGGTCTGTCTTGCAGCGCTCGGCGCTGCTCGCTGTTACCGCCGCGACGCGCCCGTCGCGTTGCGATTCCCTCCTGCCGCCACCGCCGGGCCCTGCCCGGCTCGGCAACGCAGCCCGCGCTGCGCGGGCCCGGCGAGGAGCCTCCGACACCCGTTACACCCCGGGGGCCGCGACCTCGCCCCGGCGCCATCGCGGGCCCGCCGCTACCTCGCGGGATGAGGGGACGGCCGCGCGCAGCCCGGGCAGCCGCGTACCGCCCCTCGTTACGGCGGAGGCTCGGGAGGCGGGCACCGAGGGGGCACCGAGGGGGGCAGTGGGGGAATCGCGGCGCCTCCCCGCCCGGCCCCGGCCCCGCGCCCGCCGGCCCCGCCCCCTACCTGAGGGAGCCCCGCCCCCGCGGCGCGCGCGGACCCCCGCGGCAGCGGCCGGCTCGTCCCGGCGCGCGGATCACGTGACGGCGGCGCGGCCCGGCGGCGCGGCGAGGTGCATTGTGGGAGACCCGCCCCAAGGCACCACCTCCCCCGCGGGCGGACTACAGCTCCCAGAAGCCCTCGCGGGGCGTGCGGTGGCCGTCAGGACCGGGGGTTTCTCCTGGAATATCTGATCCAAGTCCACACGTATTAAAACACGCGGGGAAAACCACCGCGCTGCCGACCCGGTTCTTTTCGCGGCTTACACCCTGCTCACTCCACCTCCTGCCTGTAATTACACTCCACCCACAACCCGCTGTATAGGGAATAGGCCTCAGCTGCCTTTGCTTCTTAGTGCTTCGCGGAGCACCGGGCACCTCAAATTAAAGGTTCACACGGTGTGGAAAATCACAGAGTCATTAGGGATGGAAGGCACTTCCGGAGATCATCCGGTCCCACGGCCGTGCGAGGCAGGGTCCCCTGGAGCAGGTGACAGGGAACGCGCCCAGGTGGGGTTCGAGTGTCTCCAGAGAGACTCCGCCACCTCCCTGGGCAGCCTGGTCAGGGCTCTGCCGGCATCGGCTGAGGAGGCTCTGCCTCGTGCTCAGGTGGAACTTCTTGCTTCACTTTGTGGAGCCCTCATCAGGCTCCTGACTAATTTGTAGCCTTTGTTACCTGTGTGTATTAGCAAAGTTTACAGCCACTTGAACTGTGCTTATACAGGTGGCAGCTGAGCCCGCCGGGAAATGATCCCTCAGATATTACAAGGCACCGCTCTCTCCAGATACGGTCAGCAACAGGAATTCTCCCCAAGAGCGCGTGCTGGAAGAACTCGGTATATTCACATGGAGCTATATGGGCTAGCAATGCTGCCGGTGGAACAGCAAGCTTCAGACGACAAGAGGACACAGTATTAAGCTGAGCCAAGGCGAGTTTCGGTTGGACCTTAGGAGGAATTTCTTCACAGAAAGGGTGCCTAGACATTGGAATGGGCTGCCCTGGAAGGCGGTGGAGCCACCGTCCCCGGAGGTTGTTAAGGTGAGACTGGGCGGGGCACTGAGCGCCATGGTGTAGTTGACAAGGCGGTGCTCGGTGGCAGGTTGAACTCGACTATCTCAGAGGTGTTTCCAACCTAATTGTTTCCGTGCTCCCGTAGCCCTGGGGCGAAGGCTGGGAGGAGAGTGGAGCGGTCGGCAGAGGGGCCATCCCCCCGGCGGCACATCCACTCGCGGCGCGCCGCTGCCACCCGCAGGGACACGGCGGGACGGCCCCGGCAGTGCCGGGCCCCGCCCGCAGGGGGCAGCGCTCCCGCGCTCCGCCGCTCCCGCCCCGGGCCCGCCCCTGCTCTCCCGCCGAGGCACCGCGGTCGGGAACGGGCATGGGCAAGGGGGACACATCCTCGGCCCCGCGACAGATATGCCCGGACCGGCTGCACAGCGAAACCAGGAACCCTCTGCCACGCTGAGCTGGATGCAGATCTCGGTGTCATTTCCGACCTGGATTTCAGTCCTGAGTAGTTGGCTTGCAGGAGCTTAATTTTCAAGGCAGGCAGTATAATTAGCAGTGTGCCTACCTAGCCTGAGTAATTAATGAGTTCAGCCCCACCAAGTCTATTTTCTGGTGCTGCTGCTATTGCATTTCTGGTCATCACTTCTCACCTCAGTGCTCCGTGCCAGTCGTGGTTTTGTGGACTTGAATGGTTGGCGTACCTTTCCTACCTATGGCTGATAGCCTGAGCTCTTTACCCCCCACAAGACAGTAGTTTGTGGCCTAGAGAAACGAACTTGCCAACTATCTCTGCAACTTGTCAGCTTGAATTTCTTAAACCTGCAATGAGATCTTATTTTGACTTGAGAAGCGTGTTGTTCATTATGGTGTGTGTTGTGATGAAAACTCTCAGACATTATTCCCGCACCAGCTGTGAGGGGTGGTATAATCCCCACTACCCACAGTGAAAAAACATTGACCAGATGCTTTACTGGTGTTTGCAAGGGCGCATCTTGGTATGAAGCTACACCATGACTTAACAATAACTTAATGCAGCACCTAGAATGCATCCCTACCTCTGTCTAACCTGCCCATGATACCAAGAGAATGTTTCTCCAGTCGTACCCTGATATGGAACCTTTTTATGGACCTTGAATTCCACTATTAAATAGCAGTGTCTATTAAACAGCAAGGCTGTTAAATTGCAGTGTCTCATTAAGACTTGGATGGGATGTTACAGCTATGACACTCAGTGGCCACTTGGAGACCCAAAAGGAGATTGCATTTGAAGCGATTCTCAGGTGAATGACAGGGACCAAATGTGCACTGAAGGTCAGCCTATAGTCAAAGTAATTCCTTGCAGCAGGACACGGTCTCAGTCTGAGGAGCTGGATCAGTTCTGATACATTATGACCAGTGTTGTTGAAAGAGGTATGTGGTAGACTAGTGATACACTGTGATACACAGAGCTCACTTGTGGGAATAAACAACCTGAGGGTGTTTGCATGTAAGCAACTGAGAAGAAAGAATTTATCTCTGTAACGCTGCAGATGCATTACACAAAAAGGCAGTGGTACAAGACTTAAGGGACAGGTAGAGAAGCTGAAACAGTTGATTCTGTAATACAAAGGGCTTCTGATATCTGTTTTGGCATGTGTTACAGGGAAACAAGAGCTAGCAAAAGTCACACGGGCTGTGAGCCAGACACAAATTCTCAGTCACAGGGCTGCCTAAGTAGAATCCTCATTTGCACACATACATATATGTGTATGTATAAATATATAGGGGGCTACAAAAAATGGACAAACTGAGACTTACAGGCAGATTTCTGCAACCATTTGGGAAACCGTAGAGATAAATACTGCTTCTCCATGGCAATGGAGAAATGTTGGGAATGTTTGTTTTCATTCAGCTCATGTCTCACATGCTATACGAGCAAGTAAATGTACCTGCCTTACAGTTGATATATAGAGGTGTGGTTTGTTTTCCCCCGTGTGATTAAAGGTGTTCTGTTTGACAGTTTGGGTGGAAGGTGTCTAGGTGTCCTTTGTTTCTACTGAAGCAGTTGAAACAGAATGACTGATGGTCTGTTTTTTAATAAAGGGGAAATGTTTCCATCACCAAGCATTTTTAAAATAAAATTACTTTCATATTCAGGAAGCAGTTGGATTCCACTGTTAATGGAATGTTCTTCAGTTTAGTGTCTCAGTAGGAGGAAACAAATACTACAGAAAAGACAATAAATTTTAGCATGCAGGAAATATTTTGCTCCAAGTGAATTACTTATCCCTGCATACTACACCACATTAGAATTATTATTAAGGTACCTCTGTTATTTTTATATCTGATTTAACAGAGCCTACAAAGGCAGCTAATTGGAAAGCATCAGACTTTATGTTTTCATAAAGTAATTCTATAGTGAATAATTAATTTCTTTTAAAAGATAATAGTAAGTTAAGAGAAAAGAATTAAAGGTAGTACGGTCTTGGTTTGTTACTAGAAATCTTATTGCAGATAACACTGTTTCCTAAAATCAAATAAAGTTTGAGGGAGAAAGAAGGCATGTTTTGGACTATCTCTATCTGAGATTTTGTATTGTGATAATGATTCACGGTCCAGAAAAGGCTTTTTTCTACCTTTAAAAGGCTTTTTTCTCTGACAACTCCACCATGCATTACAGTGGTAGCATTTGTATATACTTGTTGACTGAAATGCTCCAAGAGTAACAGTGTTTTAATGGCAACAATGTTATTGTTAAAGCAGCAAATTAAAAAGTTAATTGGATATTATTTTATTTACATGTATATCTCCTTACAAACTAGAGGCCCACCTTTGAAGATGCTTTGAAGAAGAACTTCAAAGAAGTTAAGTCTGTATTTTGTATTGAGATATGCATGCAAATAAAATCAGATTCTTCTTTCTGAAAACCCTATTCAGTTAACATGAGATGGCAAGTCGGTTCTAAAGGCTTCCAAGACAGTGATGAAAGCACTGGGTCCTTTAGCTTCTATAATTAATTTCAGATACTGGCACCTTGTACTTATGGAATCCTGACACTGCTGTAGCATCACCTTCCAGAAAAGAGCACAGTCTGGGACATATCTGCTCATAGGAAGAAAAGTACTTATTGCTGGTTTGTGAGGAGCAGCATAACAAGGTGTGTATGTATCTATCAGCCAGATAAACAGGCAGAACAAAGCAGCAAAAGCAAAACTGAAATTATACATATAACTAATTACCACTAGATTGATATGGATGTAGAACTGTGTGTGTTAGACACTTGTATTCTTTACAGATTGGTGATGGATGTGTCCTCAAGAAATGTGACTGAAAATGTGTCAACATGTATACTTACTTTGTATCTCTCTCTCCCCACACTATCATTATGCTAAGTGAAGGAATACGATCATATATAAATATTTAGATTTATGTATTATTACTGATCAGTTTCCACATCTCTAGCATGAATAGTCCATTGAAATCAGTGCTGTTACACAAGAACAAGCAGTTTAAAACCTCCACCAGTATTGTGTGCTTATGAAGTGTTCTGATTGCAAAAAATCAAGACTCAATTAGCTACCAAGACATTAAATACATTACCTGCTTAAGAACTGAACAAATCTTTTACCTGAATGTGGATGAGGAATAAACAACCTCCTTGGGCCAGCAGTGTGGTAATTCAGGCAGTCAGAACATAGTGATGAGGAAGGAAGGAGGGAGAACAGAAGGGAATTGCTGAATCCCTGGGAAAGCAGCAGTCACACCACGAACTAGGCCTCTAAGGCCCAAATGTCCCTGGACAGCTCCACCTGTCCCCCACCCCACTGTCCAGAAGTCCAGGAGCCCCACCTCAGCACAGCCCAGGGACTTCAATTGCTGCTTAAGCTAAGCATCTCTAACTCTTTCTTCAGCTCTTGGATGGACACCTGGAAAATTATTTTTAAAGAATGTTATTA